ATAATTTTTTTGCTTTTTTCTTCCCTGGAGAGTCATTTGGCGACTATAGGTTTGTAATTGGACGCCACTATCCACAATATACAATCGCGGGGTTTGTCTTTAACACTTTTATCTTGTGTTGTCTAGCCATTATATCTAGTGAGTCTTTCCTTCGGGACTAGTTTACATTCCTAAAATTCTATTTTGTCGGAAGATCGTCTTGTTGTTGCGTCTTTGACGCGTTTGCTGTTTCTCGTACACAACATTTACCCCTTCAAACCAATTTGTCATAATGTCGCCGCAGCGTTAGATAAGAGAGGAGATTTCGCACTTAATCGCTGAGAACTTCGCAAAAACTACTGAGCAGTTGGTTAAATTTTCGCTGTTTTCAGTTGATTGTACCGCTGAGACATATCAGTAATCACGTGAAGCGATGCGATCCCCTCTATCCGTAAAACGACCCCACACGAACCAACATGCCACGAACACTCGAAGGAATCGGGGAAAATTGGTGAAGAACGCTCGTATGAGGCGCAAGCAGTGGTAAGTCACCACTTTTTAAACAGCGTTTATACTTCGCGATGGCAGCAATCGCGACGAAGTGGTCGCGGGTTTACGACCGATCGAGCTCCGGCGCTGATAGTTGCATCACTTCGACTGCTTTCTGAGCAAACCTTGTTTGAACTCTGAATAACAACCAATAATAGTTATACCATCAAGACTTGCATCGATCGAAATTCTAAAGAGCTAAACTAAATATATCAGTGAAAAATATAGAAGACACAGCAGAGATCAGTCGAGTCAAGTGATACAACTTTGAGTGTTGGCGCGCGATCGGTCAAAGAGCTGCGTTCAGACTTTACGGCGACCAAGTCGACGTTTCGGAAGAATGCGCGCCCAAGGATCGATAAGTATCGATCTGAGTTTTTGAGAGAATAGGCGGAAGCGCGCCGTTTCGGGAGAACTAGTGGAACAAGTTCTTCTGGAAGAATGAGCTCTAAAGGATAGGTGGAAATTGATTGGCACCGGTCGCTAGTAGAGAGCTCTGAGAGTGAGTAGGAGTTGTGACTAAGCGTCGTAAAATAGCAAGATCTGCAGTGCTGTTACAAAAGGCTAATGCCGTTTGGACTCCAGAAATTTCGTCTTCGAGCTCATTTTAAAAGTGGCAAGATCACCAAATCCGCTAAAAACTTGTATATAGGGGTAATTCAACATCCTGATCACGAATATGACATTGCGTTTTTTGGCGCTGGCGCCTTAATGCGATGATCACTACTTACCTGCGCTCTGCTAAAAGCCTTGAGCCCAGTATGCGGGGTGTGTAACTTTAGCTAAGTCAGTAATTAGGCTGGCACATCTCGCACCTAGTGTGCCTTGCCAGTGGGGAGCCCTTTCATAAGTGAGTGACCTCTTGTTATAATGCTCATCTCAAAGCATAACGAGGGACTGAATCAATATTCATTAATGTCATTTTATTAGGCTAATATTAATAATAACATCGCTGTACACCTTGATCTACTGCAGCAGCAGGAGAAGCTGAGGCATCTAAGGTACCTGAAAGATGCGTTGTGTGTCTGCAAAGAGGGGAGGAGTGCAACAAATGTAGTAGGCGCAGGTTCTTTCGCAGAAGGCATCTGTGGTAAAGCTGAAGACGTATAGAGTGAAGGAGTGGCCGCGTGCCTTGTGCTGTAGTAAGTGTCTGTAAAAGATCCATATACACTGTATGATGGAGAAGGAATGGGCAGGTGTAGTCATCGGGGTGTCGATCGTAGAAGCCGTGTACTTGAAGGTTCATGGAGTTGCGAAGTGTTGCCGTGGAGGGTAAGGGGTTGGGGAATTGACATGATAGGGGTACTGTACATAGACGCACTAGGTCCTGCAGAAAGGTATGGCTGAGGAGAACCGAGTAGTAAAGTCGCCGCATCAGCTTGAAATCATGCTGAGACACAAACACGGAAAGGTGCTGTTCAATGCAATTCTTCAGCCTAAACACTTGTTGACACGATTGACCTTCGAAGAGGGTCTGATACAAGGGAATCAAAAGCAAGGTGTCTAATGATGTGCGAAAGGTGATCTGCTGTTAACTAGTTTGCCTTTAGCTCAGTTCGTAAGTACTTCTGTCATCCATATAGCGTAGAAGGTAAGTTCTTCACATTTTCCAGACCCATTTTCCATTCAAGCGTGTGTTTCTGAACCTTTAAGTGACTTTAATTCTCCTAACTCTTGAATTTCCCCTTTCTTCTATTTATCAATAATATTCACTGAGCTGGAAATGCTGGTGAGAGGCACCAGCCAGCGCAGCCAATTAGGCAAGGTCGCCCCACAGGCGATCTCACCGGTGTCCCCACAGGCGAGGGCGGAAAGGTGCTAAGTGAGGTCAACTTAGCTAAATTGACATTCCCAGGTAATCGTAGTGTCCTCTTTGGCGCCAGCGCCAAGAATGAGTGTCATACTCGTAATCAGGATGTTGAATTACCCCTATATACAAGTTTTTAGTGGATTTGGTGACTTAGGCAATTTGAAAATGAGACGAAAGACGAAATTTCCGGAGTCCAAACGGCATTAGCCGGTCCAATCACACCGCCCTCAAATACTGGCGACCGCTCCGATCGATATTCACGTCCCCTTTGGCTCGAATTTTCCAGACAGCTGGTTCTGCCAACTATGTAAAGGCAGCCTCCGCCAGTTCTCCCAAGACGCCAGATCGACACCCATCTGCCTCTTGGCGCGCAAACTCCTAAAAAACCGATCAATCGCGGCCAAGTATCAACGACGCTCAAAATCGGCAACAGGGTCGCTGCCACGCGAAGTATGAACACCGCTTCATTCTTCCATACAGACCTATTCCTACAATGTAAGCCTTACTGTAAAGTTAGCGGGATGAACTAGGAATTCACTTCTCAGATTTTCCTATTTCAGGGCACACGCACTTGTTTACAGTCCAGATGTGGCAGCCAAAAGACAAACATTTCACGTTACCGCACTAGCACCCGTGCTAAAAGAGGTTTGTCAAGAACATCTATTAGATTTAAAGAAACACTGCACGATTACTCACAAGGTAAATCTATTCTGTATGCGAGGTAAACCACCTGTTAAGAAGTGCTCGGTTGAATTCTTTACCTTTTATCCACAGTTTCAACACGGGACTTTCAGTCCACATACAGGGCATGGTGTCCAACCGTTCGCGCTCCTAAGCCATGACCACATTCACTATTCGTCTGCGACCTCTCATGTTTGGCTGAGGCCCCGCAGTTCGCTACTGGTCGACTTCGGCAGCGAATGTGTGAGCAACAGGCCTGCAACGTGTCGCGTGCGCATCGCGTATCGGATAGCGAGCGGAGACAATGAATATTCAAATTTCACAATCCTACAGCTTCATTTTGGCGTACATATGAGTTGAGATATTGCAGCCCTTCCACGGGTGAAAATCTGCCCATCTCGCACATCGAATGAATTCACCTCGCAGGCAATCGTAGAGTGTATTTTCAAATACTGCTGTAAAAGTATTCAGCTTATTTTTGGCTTGAAGTCGCTGTCAACTGGTGCTTCGCATACTCGCGTTGCTTGCAACGCATGATAGAAGGCGATCACCAATTATAACTCACAGTCATGACCCCCTGCAAACGATAGGGCGGGCGGTGACGGGGGGGGGGGGGGGGAGGGGGTGCTCGGAGCGTAGTCACGAAAGCCTTTCTACCATTTGTAGCGGGCTGAGGATGGCATCATTGGTGGAAACGGCCGCCCTGCCTGCGCTCTAAACCCTGCCCCATCGTTTTCAGGGATACGCCCTATCTTGCGGGGATCATGACTGTATCCCTCAAACAGCTCGCTCTCATTTCCTAGTTATGTGAGAAGCCCGTGAATTTCCTTGGCTTTCATCTCATCAAGTTTCCTCACTGCCATCACTCTGTGATTGCTGATGTTTGGTATGTTTAAGGTGAGCGAAGAAGAGCGAGCTCGTAGAGCCGAGAAGAAGCGGGAGAAAAAGATGCTCTCGAAGCAAAGTGACGAAGAGATCCGTAGACTGGAGCTACTCAGAAAGGAAAAGGAGGTGCATTCATTGTGATTTATGATTGCTTTTTTGATTTTTAACGTCCATATATACTTCAGGCTTCTATTATTACATATACAAATTCAGAGAGAGGAGCGCAGATTAAAAAGGGAGGAAGAGAAGAGACGTCAGGAAGAACTTGAGTACCAGAAATGGCAAGAAATGCAGAAAAAGAAGGAGGAAAAACTGAAAAAGGAAGCTGCTGAACGAGAGGTCGCTGAGAAGAAAGCTGCTGAGGAGGCTCAGAAAGCTGCTGAAGCCAAGAAAGCTGCTGAAGCCAAGAAAGCTGCTGAGGCCAAGAAAGCTGCTGAGGAGAAGAAAGCGGCTGAGGAGAAGAAAGCTGCTGAGGAGAAGAAAGCAGCTGAGGAGAAGAAAGCAGCTGAGGAGAAGAAAGCAGCTGAGGAGAAGAAAGCAGCTGAGGAGAAGAAAGCAGCTGAGGAGAAGAAAGCAGCTGAGGAGAAGAAAGCAGCTGAGGAGAAGAAAGCAGCTGAGGAGAAGAGAGCAGCTGAGGAGAAGAAAGCGGCTGAGGACAAGAAGGCACAAGAGGTACCACTTGTGATCAGTTTTATTTTGTAAAACTTACCTGACCGTTCATGTAATTCCCCCATTTTGGTAACAGTTCCTTCCATACTG